GACTCAAGACCTCTGGTCATTCAAGTAGCATCTTGTACGATGTAGTAGAAAGAATGATCAACACCGACAGACAGAAAAAAAAGCCAAAAACAAAGGACAACGCCCGGCTGTAATACTCTGCATTCACCGGGTATCACAGATCATGAAAAAGGTGGCTGCCAGGTATGACATCCCTGTCGCCTTTTCAGCACCAAACAAGCTAAAGAAGCTTTGTCTTATGATAAATTCCCCACAAAAACGTCGCAAAGATTGCGACCAGAGGCAGAAGCAAACATATATACCTTGCCAAAGCCAGTTTATATATGAAATACATTTCACCTGGGGCAGCGATTATTTTGGTCAATCTGGCCAATGCGTGAACACCAGGTTACGTGAACATGCTGCGTCAGTCAAATCAACACCATCGGGGCATCTCACAGTGCACGTAAGAGACTGTCACTGCAAGCCGATACTTACAGAGACAAAGGTCCCTCGAAGGTTCCGTGAGAAGACATCAAGGGAACTATACGAGGCAATGACCATAAAAGGAAAGGGGAACTCGTGTGTCAGTGCACCATCAGTGGCATTAACTGAAAAAGAACTTCATTACCTTACGTATCCTACTTGGGGTTGTTTCACTGGTTTACTGTGGAGAACTTCCTCTTCCTTTCTTTCTGCTAATCCGTTCACCTGTAAGCCGACACGGCACCGAAACCTGCAACCACACCCGCCATCCCGCTCGCTAGCTTACGGCCTCCGGAAGTGATCCCTGGAATTGTGCAGAGAAAGCTAGCAGTACGCATGCTCAGTAGCAGCGTCTACCACCACTACTAGATTCGAACCTAAAGAAGTGATCTACGAAAGCTCCCTTTTGACTCGGGCGTTTTGCCTGTTATTCACAAGGAAAGAAAAACTTGGTTCCAACGTTACAATGTATAGCCAATGCAGAATGCAGGTCTCCCAGCTTACCTTGATGTGTTTCCGTAGATTAGAGTTTGTTCGACTTGCTTATGGCATTGTGTGTTTTTTTGGGCAAGCAAACTATGTACTGGAACTCTAGGTTTCCGTTCCCCTTAATGCCCTGAATTTTGAACATCTCATTAAGTGATGGCCATGGAGACGACGGACACTCCATGACCGAAATCTCGACCAGTCAGAGAAAAAAAATGGGGGTTACGGGTTATGGATCGTTCATCGGTTCTCACTTTCATACCAATATTCGTGGAGGCCAGGGGAGGGAAGGGCATAGAGAGCGAGAGAAGTGGTGACCATTGGTCTCACAAGAAAATGGAGGATCACACCACTTTTACGCGTTCTCTCTCTATCTCTGTCAGCACTCTTTACCCCTTTATGTTGACAATTGACTGTAAAGTGAGGAGTGGACTCGACCACCATGCCCAGACAAGTAAACCAAAAGAAGTATCGTCCATGCCCTCAAAGCCGCTCTTAGCCTCGCGCCGGGCGCTCTTCAACCGTGCCTCAAGAGCGCGCTAGAATACAGTAGCGCACATCAAAGATAAAGAGAAAGAGAGAGATAACATCTTTATTGAGCCTTAGTTCAAGGTATCGAAGTGGAGTCCAGGAGGACGCCATTCAGAAGGGTGAGGATAGGTGGATCATGAGGGATTGGTGGTGTCTTTCGATGCCCTCTGCTTCTCTTCGATCGTTGTGATGTGGTGAAGAAGGGCGTCGAAGATGGCGGGCACGTGTTGATGATTTGTGGGAGAGAGCCACTCTTTTCATGTCGTGGGCCAAAGCCCGGGAGGAAGCTTTGAAAGTGTAGAGCGGATGGATGGTTGTGCATGGAGGCATTGCCAGTAGGTGTGCGTGTTGTTTGGGTAGCCAGTGCACAAGGGACACTTAGCTGTACCCTGAGCGCCTTGGAAGAGATGAGTATAGTGTGGGGAGGATAGCGTGTGGGTCTGTGCTCGGCGTATAGTGCTGGCCTGTTGTCGGGAGAGTGTGGCAGGCGGTGGTGCGAGGGCGAGTCTGGATTCGCGAAGTTGTTGGAGTGTGTCGGAGCGCTGTTGATGGTATTCATTGCGCTGGAGTTGGGGGTCATAGGACGTAGGCCAGTCAGTCGCAGGTCCCGGAGTGGAAGTGACTCGGGAAAGTGAATGTGCTCGTTCATTGCCTGGGATTAGAGCGTGGCAAGGGATCCAATAGATGTAGAAGCGAAGGGTGGGGGTGGTGTTGAGGGCGGCTCGAAGCTCGCGCGACATGTAGTTGGGGAGTTGGTTGTACTGAAATGTGCGAACTGCCTTTTGGGAATCTGTAAGGACAGTGATGGAGGTGCGTCCCTCGTGGGGGTTGGTGATGGCATGGTGAATAGCTGAGCACAGCGCCTGAGTCTCCAGGACGTCTGCCGAAGGCGCTTCGGTGTATGTTTGCCTAAGCGTTGTGTTGGTCTGAGGACAGTGAATTGCGGTGCGGCCGAGTTTGGTGCCACGGTCGTAGCTGGCGTCTGTGTAGTAGATGAGGTGTTGTTGTGCCTGAAGTGTAACGAGTTCTTGGGATATGAGTTTGGCTCTGTGCTTGCGGCGTTCCGGGTTGCTGTCGGGATTCATATGTTTTGGTATGGGGAGTGTGGTGATTTAGGGTATGGTATCCCAGGGAGGTGTAGTTGTTTCGATGAGAGGGAGGTGCAGGGTGTCGTAACCGAGAGAGTAGAGAATGTAGCGACCCTGCAGGGACGTGGTTAGGCGTTGCTGTTGACCCAGTCGGTGCAAGTCCACTCGCCCGTCGAGTGTGTTGAAGGGGTCCATCTGTTGTAACTGCTCTAGGGGAGCGTACTGTGGCCCGCCGAGAGCAAGGCGGGTGGGTTTGCGGAGCTGTGTCTGGAGGTGTTTGAGTTCACGGGTAGTGAGCGGGGTGTAGGGGATATGGTAGAGTACGAGAGATTAGATTAGAGCTTCGAAGGCTCGTCTCATGTCGCTCTCTTTGAGGCCTCTGTGGCGGCGGGAAACGCGGCCGAGGATGTGTGTGATCTGATTTATTTGTTTGGAGAGGGTGGAGACGGTGATATCGGTTGCACCGTTGTTTTGGATGGTGAAACCTAAGAGCTTGATGTGCGGGCGTTGGGGTATGGGAGTTCCGTCGAGGTGTACGGTGATCAGCTGCCTGTCGGGATTGTTTTTGCGGTTGGAGATGACGAGGAGCTCCGATTTAGATGGAGAACAGGCCAGACCTATACTAATGGCATAGCGTGCGACAGTGTCGCAGGCGTGTTGCAGTGTCTCTTCCTGCTGGCCGGGGGAACCGGTGTTGGTCCATAAGGTAACGTCATCGACGTAAATGGGGAATTTGAGGTGGGGGATGGTGTCGAGTTGTGCGGGAAGTTTGCTCATGGCAAGATTGAAAAGGGTGGGAGAGAAGATAGAGCCTTGTGGTACTCCTTGGTGTAACAGGAAAGGTGTAGAGATCTGTCCAGCAATTTTAAAGGCGGCCGTGACGTTCGATAGAAAGTTGCGGATGTAGTTGTACATTCGAGGGCCGCACTGCGTTTCTCTGAGGGTACCGAGTATGAAGTTATGCGAGACGTTATCAAAGGCTTTGTAGATGTCCAAGCTTAGGAGTGAGCGGAGTTGTGTGGTGCTTTTGTCTTGGAGGAGGTCATTGTATAGCCGAAGGAGACAGTCTTGTGTGGAGATATTCTTGCGGTAGCCGATGAGTGTAAAGGGTAGGGCTTTCACGTGCTGGAGATGCCATTCGAGGCGCGTGAGAACAAGCTTCTCAAGAAGTTTGCCGGTGCACGAGGTGAGAGAAATGGGTCGTAGGTTCTTGATTTCGGAGCTTTTGTTCAGTTTGGGGATCATGGTGACGATGGCGTGTTTCCATTCTGCTGGTATGTCGCCAGTTTGCCAAGCATTATTGAAGTAGTTTACGAGTTGCTGGAGTTGTGTGTCGTCGAGATTGCGGAGAAGTTGATATGTGATTTGATCTTCGCCAGGTGATGTGTTTCGTTTGAGAGAGTCAAGCGCCCGCTTTAGTTCATTGAGTGGGAAGGGGGCGTCCATGTCGCATGGGTCAAGGGGAGGAGTTGGTGGTTCTGGTGTGTGTGTGGTGTGTCGGTTGGTGGTGGAAGGAAGGTGCCGCGGAGTTGCTGTTCAAGGTCGTGCGAGGTAGTTTTGCTGGCGAGCATAATGCGTGTGAGGGGGTCACAAGGTTGAGTGGGTGTGAGGAGTGAGCGTAGAATGCGCCACGTTTTTTTGGTGCCGAGTTGGCCGTTGAGGTAGTCGCAAAGTTGGAGCCAGTTTTCGGTAGTGAGTTGCTCTGCGTAGGTTTTGGCTTCTTTGATGATGTTGTGAATTTTGTGTTTTAGGTGTTTGGAGTGCTTAGTTTTCTTCCATTTTTTCACCAATTTGCGCCTAGTTTTCCAGAGGTTGAGAAGATGGGCGTCAATGTACGGGGTAGTGGTTGTGGTTTAGGCTTCTTTGGTGCATTTGTTTTGTGCCTGGAGGAGGTGGTTAGCCCAGGCTCTGGGATCAGTGTCCGTCGGTGGGGGGTTGTTGGAGGTATGGTAGCGGAAGTGATCCCAGTTTGTGATGCGAGCAGTATTGCGACGTCCTTTCTGTTTGACGTTGGTGATCAGTGTGAGGTGGATGAGGCGATGATCGCTGCCAAGCTGTTCGTCAGATGCGGACCATTCAGTAACGGATGGGCCGTGATGGAAGGCCAGGTCCGGATTGGTATCCCGTTCTACGCTGTTACCGATGCGGGTGGGTTGTGTAGTGTCGTTGGCCAGTGTCATCGACGTTTGGGCGGTTGCTTGTTCGAGGAGGCGCCCATTGTGTTGAGTGTTTGGGTAACCCCAGGACACATTGGGGCTGTTGAAGTCTCCGACTAAGAGATGTCGTGATCTGTGTTTCTTGCCACGAGTTTGGTGAGCCAGGGAGTGGGATTTGCGACCTTGCGGCCCGGCCGCCATTACGCGTTGACGATTGTGTTGGGATTGGGGCAGTTGCGGGGTTGAAGGGTGATGATGACGTGCTCGTGAGTGAAGCCGCCTTGCCCTTAGCAACATGGCGGCGTGCGGCTACTTTGGTCAAGAAGGAAAGCACGACAGACGCTGGCTTGCTGGTAGCGTGTCCAGTGCAAGATACTATCCGATTAGACTAGAGGTAAGTAGCACGGATGCAAGCGGTACCGCTGGCCGTTGATTTCTCTATGGGCGCACAAAAAGAAAGCAAATCAAGCTTCAGCGCCTTCCATCGGTATATACGGACGGCCTCCACACAGGACAGAAACGGAATGTTTTCTTTTTTTTCTTTTAACCAGCAACCACGGGAAGGACTCACGGCTACAGCCACAGCTGCTACAGCACGTCCTCCATTGCCGACACCGAGATGTTTACATCCGCGACCCCTCTCCTCCCCCCCCCCCCCCCCCGCCCCCGAGGAGGCGGAGCTTAGTATAACCTCCTCTCACACCTTCACACCTCCTTTCCCATGCGCAGAGGACCGAAATGCGCCCACTTGCCAGGCTCATACCCACAAATACACTTTCCCCGTTCCGCTTGCAGAATTATATGCAGCAAAAACTGTAGTGATATGGTCTCGCAACATTCGCACATACACGAAATTACATGAGTAGTGCAGTGTCTTTCAATACGCTGCGCTGTCCCAGTCTTAGTTATTCTTTGTTTTAAGAAGTACGGAGTCCGAAGTTAACGGAGTTTTCAAGTCAGTGGAGCTGGTTTTTATCTAGCGATCTATTGCCTTAAGGAAGATCGTTTAGATGAAAGGCCATGGTTTATGTATTTCTTCTCAGGCGGTGCAATATATGCATGCATACCTACTTTTTTTAAATTATACAGAAAAAAAAATCAACAAAAATTAATTAATAAAGCCTGGACGGAGAGGAAGAAACACGCAAACAGACGAATGCTGATTAAAGCTGTGCGCGCGTCCTCTTCACTCCTTTGGAAATCCCCCGAGGAGCGTTTGCCCTGTTCGCGTGTATCTTCTGCTCCGTCCGTATTCTTGGCGCTGTTTCTAGGTCATAATCAACGAATACCAACTAGCCCGACCCTCGACGTTCCACGCTCCTTTCGATTGACCATTTGCTATTCTGTCCATGAGCACACCAAGCCGTTCGTATCCAGAAGTCGTACTCCTGCCTCTCTAGTATAAGCTGCTCAGATGCACTATCCTGTATTTTTCGCGACTGCTATGGAGGGAACTCGTGCGCCATGGACTCCTGAAGGATTATTTTACGTGTCCGCTTTCGGCCTTCTTTGCGGAATATCTTGGATATACTATATCAATCGTCGTCATGTGGTCGGACACAAAGAGGTAAGGTTATTAATACATTTGATAAAAAAAAAAGTCTATTCCTATTGAAAAGAAAGCCGCATGATCAAGGCGCAGGTCGACTTGATGTTTGGACATAGTTGTCCAGCATATTTCTGTCAGATGGCACATAAATTACTTTTCTTTTTCCACCTGTCTCGGTTAAATAGTTCTGTCGCACAATGATCAAGGCGCAGGTCGACTTGATGTTTGGACATAGTTGTCCAGCATATTTCTCTTAGATGGCACATAAATTACTTTTCTTTTTCCACCTGTCTCGGTTAAATAGATCTGTCGCACAGCACAGACAATGTTTCGTGTGTAAAGGAGATCTATAATGCGTGTGTAAAGGAGATCGTCGTGAATAAGTTAAAATTGTGAAGTAAGTAAGTAAGTAAGTAAATTTATTTCCCATCAACACTGATGGCGGAGGTCGAGAAAAAAAGCTTTGAAGTACAGCTTGACAAGGTCCTCGACCTCCTACATAGGCGAAATAGCAGAAATAGCAAAAAAAAAAAAAAAAAAAACACATACAAAAAAGATTTTCCATACCGAAACATGGTTCAAGGTGAAACAAGAGGACACTATACAAGCGTAAAATACGTACTAAGGAAACAAGGAATAAAAAAATATATATGTTAAAAAATATTAAAAAAAAATATTACATGAAAGATAAAATCATTGCTAATTTACCTATCTAAGCCTATAAAATATTCTCTAAGTTGTTTTGGTGATATTCTATTCAATTCCAGTTCACTTTCTTCTAAGTGGTTCAGCAATTTAGGCAACGTATATCGAACCATCTGGGAGCCGTAATTTGTTCTCCGGGCCACCATCTCCCAAAGGTGTGCATGACGAGTGGGGTAAACCGGTTCTTTTAGATAAAGATTAGCCAAATTTGTAAGGAAACGTGTATTTTTATCGTTTTCCGTTTTAAACATATTACTATGTCTATAATTGTATAAAGTGTATATATTAATAACGCTGAAAGCTCTAGACAGACCAGCTGTATGGGAGTCAAACGAGACGCCGCCTATGGACCTCAGTATTCTTTTTTTTTTTTTAATAAAAATATCTTCTCAAGGTTCGATGATGTAGTTGAGCCCCAAACAAGATGGCAATAATTTAAAATGCGAATAAAACAGAGAATTGTAGATTAGTAATTTCACATTGGTTGGCAAAATTGATCGATGGCGATATATCAATCCAGTTATTCGTGAAAGTTTGGGAATTATATAATTTATGTGATTATCCAAGGACATATTCTCAGAAAAGATCACTCCCAAAACCTTAAAATTGCTCACAATCTCAATTGGGGTTGCGTTAAGAACAATATATGTCATTATTCCAAACGATTTATTTCTCGTGCGAAAAAGTACAGCTTTAGTTTTGTTTATGTTAATTTTTGATGAACTTTTCCTGCTCCAAATTTCAAATCTCGACAGCGTCAGACTTGCAATATCCACTAGCACGTCGCGACCCTCGGCCGAAATAAGTAGCGTTGTGTCTTCGGCGTAATTTACAAATTTGACATTTGGGTTAATGTTGATGACGTCATTAACATAGATGTTAAAAAGGAGGGGACCTAATATACTGCCCTGAGGAACACCGCAAAAAATAGGTTTCATAGAGGAAGAATTCCCATTCAGACAAACATATTGCGCTTGATGCTCTAAATAAGATCTAGAAATCTGTAACGCGTGACCCCGAAGTACACTTATAAAACTCCTTAACTTTCAAATTATTTTAACTTTTTTTTTGTAGAGTACTATTGGGTATGGTCTGTATCAAAACATACTTCTTGTTTTTGTAGGAATTGTAACCTCTGCATAAAACACTCAAAGTTGTACAGTGTCAGAAAATAAAAAAATGCAAGTTTTTTTTTTTTATTGCAAACTACACTAGTCATTGCTGAACGCTCATTCTCCGCCCAAAGATAGCGCTAGAGTTTACAACCAGATGCCAAAGTTTCAGCCCGATTCGACACCTTAGTCAGAAGTTAAGTTATTTTCCGAAAATTTGAATGGGAAAATGGAGCCCATTTTTGCCAGTTTCCAGTTTCTATTGTCTAATTAGAACCCTTTGTATTCGAAAACTCCGTCGGCCACCATTTTCCCAATGAAATTTTCAGAAAACCCCTTATAACTTATGATTAAGGTATCGGATCGGGCTGAAACTTTGGCTACTGGTTGTGGCCTCTGGTGGTACCTCTGGGCAGAGAACGAGCGTTCGGCAATGCCTAGTTTATTTTTGCGGTAAAAAAAAAAAAAAAAAACTACTGTATTTTATTTTTTGCGACACCCTGTATAATACTTTTTCAAGCGCGAAAAGTATAACACTCTGTGTAGAAAAAGACAAGGCCCATTAGGAGCAGAATATAGACACTCCGTTAACTCTTGACTGCCGTTCATAACCAGTTCAAGCTATAGAAAATAAGAAAAAACAAGAAAGAGACATGAGAAATATTAGCGGCAGTGCCGACCCTTTCTCCTCTCAGGATTTGTTTTTTAATATACGCGCATATTGGAGTGAAACAGAAGGTAATTCGGGGGTTGGTGCAGTACCTGGCCTCTTGTTCAACTGGTCTCTCGTGGTGTTTTGTTGATTTTATAAGACATAACGACTGGCCCAACTACGAACGTGACTTACAGGCAGGTAGCGTAGCTAGCGTAGCTAATCTAGTAACGTTGGTTCAGACGCAGCCGCGAAGTTACGAACCAATGCGGAGGGCAAGTTCGTCTGCTTCTTGCGCAGGGGGTATCGGTGACGTCAGAACGCCGAGCCCTGATTGGCTGATCGCGGCCCCCCTATCTGAGCGTCGTCTGCTCCTTTACCACGTCGTCTGCTCGCAACGTCGTCTGCGTCTCTCTTACCTTTCCTGCGACTTTTGGAAGTGCAGGCGACGATCTTACGCCGAAAATGTGCGTAAGACATAACTTAAGAACAAATCCGTATTCACGAAACGAAATTTTCGTAAGTTTTGCGCAGGTTACAACGAAATCCTACGACAGCTCCGAAGCTGTCTTACGCACTTCTTACGATCAAATGAGCATGGCCGACAGCGTCGCGGTCGCGACGACCAACGGAAGTTTATTTTTCTACGTGCGCTTCTCACGCTTCCCGACTTCAAGCAGCGAGAAAAAAAGTAAAAAGTACTTGAAACAGACCACGACGAACAAGAACGCTGAATTCACAAACACCCGGGAAAAGCTCCAACAGTCACGATTCCACCGAACGCTACCAAGCGAGCACGGCAGTTAGGCCTAGCAGGCACTCCGCGACTCGGCGACCGTCTGCCCACGGACGGCTGCTGTGCTGAATGGAATATGCCCGCGCGACCCTTGTGAACCCTTCCCGTATTATACTTTAATCGCTGACCTCAGTTTTAGATTAAGAGGTCACTTTCTTCCTCTTGTTATCTCCTTGTTTCCCGAGGCAACGGTGACTCTCGCCGGTGAAAAAGCGGTGAATCTCCCGCAGACGCGGGAAAGGTAAAGCAGCCATCGCTTTGACTAGCAGGCGTAACGCAGACGATATTAACTGCGCCAACCCGCCGACGCCGTTAAAGAATCAGGGGTCTCGCCGCACACGAAAGGAGGGAAAAAGTATTTGGAAGGGAACTTGCGGACACTAACACGCTCACACCCTCTCGGTTCTTAGCAAACAAACCTCGACGCTTCGGGACACCTCGCCAGTGAGTTATTTGACTTCCCTCCTTGATGCGCGTCTGCTAGTTCTTAGACAAAAACAACGTACCGAAGTCGAGCTCGCTCGTAAAGACCTGCACTTCCGAAAGTCGCAGAAAAGGTAAGACAGACGCAGACGAGGTTGCGAGCAGACGACGTTGCAAAGGAGCAGACGACGCTGAGATAGGGGGTCGCGATCAGCCAATCAGGGCTCGGCGTTCTGACGTCACCGCTACTTCCTTTCTCATGCGCAGAAGACGAAAATGAGCCCACTTGCGAGGCGTATAAGACCAATCAAACAGCGTCAAAAACTCACGTCATGATGCTCGTCGTTTTTCTCTACGTGCTCTGTAATCGCAGAACCAATCGTAAACAGAAAACGCCCAGTGACTCGCGCTTTTCACGGTGCGGTGCTTAATATTTGGGCTCCTAATCTTGAGGCAGCGACGAGAGATGCACTCATTGTGGCTCTTTATTCTTGATAAGCCGGTGATGGCAATGCTACAAAGTGAACGCATGAGCGCCATGACGACGCACCTTTGTCGTTGCTTGATTGGCCACGTGGGATCGTACCATCGGCTGCGATCCATGCGACTGAGTGAAGGAGAGTATGCCCACAGGGAGTCTACACCGAATGTTTCAACATAAACATGAAAAGGGATGAAGAAAAACAGGATAACGTCAGCAAGGACACTTTTCTCATATCTTCGAACATTTAATTAGCACCAGCGCTTAGATCTTCACAATTTTTGTTTTTTCTGAAAGATGTCGTAGAGTTTTGATATTAACGGTTTTCTATCAAAACCATCAAGCACCGTTCGCCCGATATATATCGCCACAAACACATTCTACCTTTGACAGCAATGTGTTACTGCATAATTCATATTGATCGCATATGACATCCTAATATGGGGTGCGGTAAACACTGATCTATAAAACCAGTCATTATATAGAAAATGTGTTTCTCAAAAACATGTTCTAGTACAGGCAAAATCGAAATCGGGGGGTAGGTTTCTACCTTTTTCAGATCCCCGCCTTTGAAGATCGGTCGCACTATAGTAGTGTTAGGCTCATTAGGGATCATGCCCGATTCGATAAATTCGTTCAACATGAAAAGTAGTCTCTCCTGCCGATGTGTGAAATTTCTCTGAAGACATCCAAGAGTTTTGCCATCCACGCCTGGAGGCTTAGTATGCCTAATGCTGAAAGGAATGGAACGTAAATCGGTCCAAGCTCATAGGATAAAGAAAAAGGGAGGTTGCGTTCATCTCTATTACTGCTTCCGAAAGACCAGCTCTTTGTGGAGAACGAGGGGATCTAACAAAGTAGGTATTGAATCGTTCAACAATTTCTGTCAATTTGTTAGCAAAATGTTTTTCCTACAACGTCCTCCACAAATTTCTTTCGCTGATGACCACAAACAGTATTGACGAGGGACCATGTCTGTGAAGAGCTAAATCGGGCCTTTTAATAGTTGTCCTTGGAGTGCTTTCTTTTCGCCAATCGAAGCATAGCATTATCTCCGTTCCTCGTGATTCTAAATCCATAACGAAGTTCATGATACTCTGGTGCTCGCCGACTCGGTGAAAAAGCGAGTTCTTTTGCTTTTATGGCGGTAAGTACCTCCGTGTTTATAGCCATGCGTGATCCGGTCTTCGTTGTTTTTTATTCTAACAGTTCGTTTACATTTCTCTGTGAACGAACTAATGATCTGCGTGAACACTGCGTAGAGGTCAGATTGGGATGTAGACTTACGAAACGAAATGCAGACAAATGTCGAAATGAGGCGACCTAGTTTTACATTATGGATAATTTCTATTTGCTTTGTTCCGGCTACCTTGGTTTCCCCAGGGTTTACAAATTGATATCCTACAAAATAATGATTGGCGAGTTTCTGCGTGATAACCGATGACATTGTAACGGTATTCTCAGCTCGAACGCAGATATGATCGATGCAAGACGTGACTAGTTTACCTGATATTATCTCTTCTCTTGTAGGAGCTTTAAAAGTGCTTCCAATACCCTCGTTTGCAAGTATGTTAAATAATCACAGACATCAGGTCGATCATGTTTTGTTACATTAATATTAATATTGCCAATCAAGCAAAATGAGCCCCTGTTACGCATTTCATTGAGTGTCTTTTTTTTCTATTTTTCTAGAAAACTTCTAGTACTTTGTGAAAGAGGCGTATAAGAAGCTAACATTCCAAGAGAGCAACGCCCATGCAACGGAAGGTGGAAATGTCTTGTGCTGATATCCGTCAGATGATTAAAAATAGAAGTCCACCGCGGTGTTCTTATTTTGGATATCGGGTCCCCTGGCAACTCCTCTCAATCCCGAAAAATTTGTGATCATGCGTGATTCCATTTTGTCAGGGATGGAGGAGGCTCGGCGAGCGTAAACTGAAAATGAAGCTTTGATCGACGAAGTTGTGCGAAAAACCAAAGAAAGTGTGAGCGTCGAAACAGCAGCAGGCAACGTCGCGGCGTCGGCGTAAAAGCTGGCTGGAGTGATATTGCGAAAGAGAGAGTCGGCGAGAACACTCTCGGCTCCTGATTTAATACACTCGTCATATCGAATATTCGACCTAGAATGTTCGGGAGTGAGCTTGGACGAGACTGACTCGATAATGGAATGTTGACATCCTTATCTTTTACACTGAGAGTCATTCAGAGTAGGGGTAATCTTTAAGTTCTAGAAGTACGACGAAGCGTTCCTTATCGCTCATGCACGTGCACAAAATAAAGAAAAGCACTAATAAAATACACTACGTCATTTGCATCGCGAAAATGGGATATATTCTGTGAAATTTTACATTGCACGTGATCAGAAACAGAAACCAAACCTTCGGCACCGTCAGGCAACATTGGCCTCGGGCGGCCAAAAGCACGGCTCTCACGCGCGACAACGAGCGGAATTAGAGCGGGCCACCACTGGGGCAGACATGTGCAAGGGGAAAGTGTCTTCTGCGCTTCAAGTCTTCGCTACATTTTGGTGTCTAGTATATTTTAATTTCATTTTCTTTTTATTACCTTAAAGACCCGGTTAGGGGTATTACATAAAGGATGGGGTAACATATAAAAATAAATTTACGACGACGTCTGCACAAATGCTTCATCAGTGAGTGTACATAGTGTACGAAACTAGGAGAGACACATAAACGTAGATGAATGTAACACCACATCAACGTGCTCCTTCAGTATTTTTGTTCACCCCCCAGGGCCACTCGAACCGAATTCGGCGCTTCCCAGGAGGATTACCACCGGTGTTCCCGAACGGTTGGATCCCGATACTCGAATCTTCAAAGTTGGAGAAGAACAAAGTCAAATTCATCAATGCGATTGGTGCGTAAGGAACGGCATGGGTGGCCAATAAAATTGTCAGTGATAACGCATTTATTTTAAGTACATATATGCTTCTTTCTCAGGCATGGAACTTGTTGCATTCCGAACCCAAGATAACGTGCCTCACGTCATGGACGCTTACTGCCCCCACCTGGGTGCTCATTTGGGAACCATGGGCCGCGTGACGGGGGGCTGCATCGAGTGCCCTTTTCACGGCTGGAGGTTCAGAGCAGAAGACGGAGTCTGCACCCACGTGCCGTATGCTAGCAAAGGTACAGAATAGAGCCCCATAAATATGGTACGCTTAAAGGTAAGGGCTCCCTGAACCATCTTGGCGCCTTAAATAATTGTTGCTAGTGATCTGAAGTTTTATCAGAAAATGCAGAAAAGGGTTTTCCGTCGTCCTTCAGAAATTTTAAAACAGTTTGCCGGAGGCCAAGACAATATCGCCTGAGCGTTTAGACACCCTATCACAACCACAGGAAAGGGCACTTAGGGATCGTAAGGATCGCCAATCGCGCGCGTTCTGCCCTAAGCACCGAAATGGCGGCACCCACAATAAAAGCGTGGAATGAAGTTTAGACACTCTAAATATAGCTTAATTTATTGCTCTATAAGAAAAGAAAAGAGGCTTGATGGGCTAGTTGGTGATTGAATGGCTTAGCGCAAGCTGTTTCACACATATCCTGCTGAAGCTGTTGACAGTTTCCCGTTTTATGTTGTTATTTTCCTGTATTACTCAATCATCCTTCCCCCCTCTTAGAATTCCACACTAGGAGAGGTAGTATAAATATATAAATAAATACATCGAGGACAGCACAAATAGACGAGGCAAGGTCAAGAGAACAGCACAGGGCAGTCGCTAAGCATTTGCAAAGTTGCGCTAAACGGTAGGATATGGCACTCGGAATGAACCAGAAGCACACTGTTTGAGCATATGTCCCGTTTTTTTTTTTTTTTTTTTTTTTACTTTGTTTTGTTTAGTCACGCTGTTTTCATTACGTTTAGCAAAAAAGTACGTCAACCTTATTGAATTTCAATACATACTTGAAATCTTGTGTCCGACAGCCGACGTTCGTGCTTCGGCAGCCCGCAACCGCCCAATAGTTTAAACGAAAGACGGTTGAATGTTGATAAATATCTTATTGTTGGTATAATATAAACACTATTATTAAAATGATCCCGTCAAACACTGGTCGCTTTTTCTAATTTATTTGATAAAACCTACGTTTAAGCATCCCCGCAATTGGAAAACTTCACTCGTTATAATCTGAGTCACGAAACTTGTGTTTATGGCTCTTGCGTTCTATTTTCGTGGTGTATTGCCTTCAAGGCACGTGCCGTCTTGGGTGAGACTTTTTTAGTTTTATGCCTTATTTTGATGACATGACATTATTCATATTTATGAGGTCATTACTTCAATATGTTATGGCATAAAGCATCTTCGACATCGAATGTGGGCTTAAGGCGCGATGTATGGATAGAGAGGACGTGAAATTAGGGACATCTAGCATATCGTTTCCTCTCCGATTACAATGAAAAGATCAATATATAGTAAAGTACTGTAATTAATTGAAAATCAATTCTTATGCATGGCCTGCATTGGCGTCACATGAGCCGTCGTTACACCATATATACCGTGCTCCAGTGCCCGTACCTTATGCAGCAGTCAATTTGCACCGGAAGAACCAATTATATGGTGCCAAATGTATTCGTACCTTATGCAGCAGTCAATTCGCACCGAGAAGAAGAAATTATATGGGGCGAAATGTATGCTGCAGAAGGGACGGGTACGGGAGCATGGTACGAACCAGTAGCGGCTGGTACGGTGGCTTGACGTCATATGCAGGGCATGAGTCACTGACAAATTAGAAAACACGGGACGCGGCGAAGCCTGAACATCTTATACTCGCTTAGCAACCAGTGAGATTCCGGGACTAGCCAATCAAAACTTCAAGGAAGGGATGCACAAGACAGAAGCGGGAACATAAAATATATGGCGAATTTTGCCCAACCAGGTTGGGCAAAATTTTGACGTTTGGCGTTTGGCGATACTCCCAGTCCCCCGACGCCAGACACCAACGTGCGCGGCGCTCTTCATCAGAGAGTTTAACACGTACTTTGCGTACACTTGACAGAGTTTCCTAGAATGAAGCGGTACTGGGTGATTTCAGATAAGATCGACCAAAGGATGGCTAGTCGACATTTTCAAATCAACTGATGTTTTTATATGTTATTGTCTAGTGTCTGGTATGAACGAATCCAAACTTAGTTTTGACTAGATAAAATACTTGGGGACAGGAAAAATCGTAATGCATGAGGTGGTGGACAGTTGCATTAACGCGCACTGATGGAGGGGGCCCGTTTGAGAGTGAATAACTAAAGCGATAACATTAGGAGAACTCTAATACGTTTTAGCCGCAAACTATGGGTATAGCTTGCTTGTAATATAAAGTAATCATATTTATTTAAAATTTATTTATTATTCTAAAAATTGACAAACATGCCTGCTCGAACGACAAATGGCAAAATTTGGAGGTCTGTATTTCATGAAATAATTTAATCATTATGATATAATTTGCAGATATTATTCTACTAATATATAGCTCATATTTAAAAAATAACTAAGGTATCTGTGTGATACAATAGTTAGGATATATTTAGTCAAACATGGAAAAAAAATCAAACAAAGAAAGATTCCGATGCGAATAAAAAAAAAACACCACCCTCGATTTTTTTTAAATTTAGGTAACCTGTTATGCTCTATTTCGGCATTCATTTCCATTAAAAACATGTTGCATCATTTTATTGAGAAAGAAGATACAACTCCCCAAAGTAGGGTCCTTTTTCAAAGCCTACACTTAGCAGTGTTTTATACAAGAACTGACACTGAGTTCCAGTTTCATGAAACCGACACACATCTTTTATATATTTTTATTCAGATGAGGCCAATGATAACTAAAGAAATCGTTCACACACTTAAATTAAGGAGAAACTACTGTGTACAAACAGGTATCATATTACGGACTAGTGATCCGAGAAAAGATCATGCAGCCATCGGCCACTACGAACTTTGTTTACTTTATTCTCCTGCGACACTATATGCTATTCCCTCTTCCGCTCTACCTTCATCTCTCTCTCTCTCTCATATATATCCCTGATATATATTCAGAACAAAAACATGTTCAAGCATTCCCTTTCTGCGTGGTAGTGTTCTGTGGCTAGCAAAAATCATTTCCTCGCTAAGCTCACGATTATGGCAAAATAGTTGCCGGAAACCGCAGACGACACTCGTCGCTAGTTCTGGCAAAACGGCCGATACAATCTTTTTTCGCATTTCCCCGCTCGCTGTCAAGGACAAGGGGGTTCGCTTCAACCAGCAAAACATGGCCGCCGACGCCTGTTTACTGAGCAGTCATGCCTGGCGCCATCTCACTCGCTGGCGTCACGGGCGATGATATCAGGCACAAAGGGGCACACCAACCGGCAGCATTATCCCCAAATACTCGAGCCTCGCGTAAATACATAGAGTGTAAACGCTGTCGCCATGTTATCGTAGTAAGACCGCCCCCCCCCCCTCCCCCAACGGGGGACTGCAGTACGCGACGGCGTACTAACACAACGGCGACGATATCGACATCGCGGGCTCCGAATTTTCCCATAGTTCTACTACACGGGCATTTCTCGAAACGCTTGATATTGTGTACGCCCGCCTGGAAGCATTTCAGGCGCGTAGTTAAGATAAGGCGGTTCTCCGCGGCAAAAGAAAGCAATTTCACAAAAGCTTAAAAGCGGCGGCGACGCGTGTGCGGTGAACGCTTGTAGTTTTGGTGTAGACAGGGTGTGTGTGTTCTCGTTGTTGACACCAGCCGGCGATAAGGCACTGCAGGCGGTAGCTCAGTACAGCAAGGGCTAATCCGAGTGACCATCAACGTAACCCCACCGCCAACCCCTCGCGAACCGGTCGCCGACATGGCTCAGGCTGTGTCATGAACCACGTGGTAGAAGCTCGGGTGCTTTCATATCAGCGCGTGGAGGGACGACAGTGCGATTCCGGAAAGTCTTTTTGGAAGGCCGCTGACCACAATTTTTTGTCTGGAGACTTTCCCTCTTTCTTCCTTTGACGTGGATCAAGCTTTGCCGACAGTCTCAGTTGTGACCTCTCTTTTCAAATGTACGTTTGCAGTGAGTGAGCTCCTCAGCCTCGGACTTGTCACTTGTGCACCCAGTAGTTCTTTCACTTGGCAATTATATGCCATCAGTCGGGGTTTAATATCTATTATTTATGTATACATTATGAAGACGTCCTGGAGCTCCAAACGAGTGTTTTGTGCAGATTACTTTTGCAAACACAAAAAGACTATACCAAAGCAGCGGAATTTTCGAAGTGTTGGCGAGTTGGACCTAAACTCGTTGAAGCAAATTCTTCCGCCTGACTGTTCCACCAAAGTGAGTGCGACGGACTACCTGTGCTACCATTGCTTCATGCACATCACTAAGGAGATCTCGATGCGAAGCTCAGAGCAGTGCCTTGACATATTTGTGCCAGCTGAAGAAGCAATTGAAGATCTAAATCGCAGCATACTACCTACAGATGTGTCGCCGATGAGACAACCAAGCGTCGTAAGAAGTCGGGACAGGCCTGCCTATGTCAAGAGAAAGCAGACAGAACTGGTGCAGGTTGCTGTCAAGAATATACGCTCAAGGCTACGTATTGCGTACGACAGGGACGCACCATCGGGGTCGTCCGAACCAACATGCTCCACATGCACTGAGTGGGTGGACAACTTTCGGCAGGCCTTTGAAACCGCCACCTCTCTCCGGGAACGTTGTCAACTGCTTACACTCCTGCCGTCAACACTGACGAAGAATGAGGTTCAAAAGATGATTCCACAGGCCTCAATGTACCTCATCAGTAAATCCCGAAAACTCAAGGAAAAGCATGGCGTGTGGTATGAGCCGGATCCTTACACGAGGTGCAAGGTGAGCCCTGAGAACCTGTCTGCTGCCCTAGAGTACTTCACGAAAGACGAGCTACAATGTTCGCGCCAAAGTCCCAACCAAAAGGTCGTCATCTCTGTCATGCTCAACGGAGAGAAAACGTTCGTGCCAAAGCGCTTCATGACACGCTCAATACGAGAGGCCTTCCGTATATACAAAGACAAGCATCCCGATTTCGGCGTTGGGCTAACAAAATTTTATTCGTTGCGCCCTAGATGGGTCCAATGTATTCCACACCAGGAAGTGTGCGTTTGTGTGCGCTGCGCCAATTATTATCTTTGTATTGCCGCTCTAGAGAACGTTACAGGCTCAACATTCAACACTGGTGAAATGAACTCGGCATTTCTGTGCGACCCAGCAACAGAACTGTGCCTTCAAAGAGACTGTGATCACTGCCCAAAAGGCCAGTTTCTTACACTCCAGGAACTTGATATCCCGGAGGATGAAGAGATTGTGCTTGCAACATGGGAGTCCGGCGACCTTGTGAAAAAAACTTTGGAACCTGAGACTTTCCTAAAAGTCATCCAAGTGACGGTTGGAAGTTGGTTACTTCACAACCATATCCGGCAAACGCAAGGTAAAGCGATCTACGATGAAAAACAGTGCATGCAACGCGGGAGCATTGTCTTTCATTTTGACTTTGCTGAAAACTGGACCATCGTGCTTTCTGACGAAGTGCAAGCATATCACTGAAAAAAAAAACAAGTTTCGATATTTACATGTGTAGTGACGACAAGAAAATCTACAAACAGCTTTGCCATCATCAGTGAGGACCTGTGTCACGACGCCGCTCACGCTTGCTTGGCTCTAGAAAAAGTGAAGGAGTGGGTTGAAGACAACGTTGCGGTATACTCGTACGTGACGTACGTAAGTGACGGCGCCACCAGTGATTTCAAGAATCGCTGCCAGCTTCACCAATTTACAAAGGACGATTGCCCACAAGCCCAGTGGTTATTTTCTGCATCTGGACATGGGAAAAATGCATGGGACGGAGTTGGCGGACTCGTGAAGCACCAGGCCACGCTGAACAACCTGAGAGAACGTTCAGTAAGCGCAATTCAGACGGCCAGGACAATGGTGAGCGTTCTATCAAAGAAACTGAAAGGCGTGCATCTTGTATATCTGGACGAAAATGAGGTTGTTCGGTATCGTGAACAAAAAAAAAGAAGAGTGGCTGACGGTGCGCGCCTTCCCTGGCATTCAGTCTTGGCACGCGTGGCGGCTCAGCAAGTCATCAACAGAAGGGACCTGTGACGTATATGTAGCACGGACAGTCGGATCTGCTTGGAAGCAACTTTATTAAATGGGTACAGCGAGGAAAACCTTAGCGTAAAGTGCCGAATTTGATTTCCCAAGGACTGCTCATTTTGAATGCAGGGACATCTTATTTATCACATTTTTCTTCACGGGGTATTTAACCTACTGTTTTTGTTGGTGGTTACTAATAATTTTTATCTGATCACTATAAACAAAAATCCCAAAATGTTATCCTCGAGCAGGATAAAATATATCGGCTTGCCACGATTCATTCATACACCGAGAGCATCGAAGCTGCTCCAGTTAGGCACTATGGCATCCGTCACCTGAAATTGTTTGTAATCGTAAATACACAGCCAACCTAAATATCTTACTATTATATCTTTGTTTTTGTGTGTGGAAGTAAAGTTATTTATTTTATTCTAGATGTAAAAATATACCGGAAGGTACAACTTCACACTGCATCATCTTTTCTCAAATCATTAGTCTCTAATATGATACCACTTTGTACGCTTATGTAAAATGCTGTATATAGTTTCTCCTCCCTTTTACTGTGTGACCGATCGCTCTTTTTATCAATGACCTCATCTGAATAAATGTATATAAAAGATTTGTGCAAGTTTCATGAAACTGGAACTCAGAGTCACTTCTTGTATAGGACACTGCTAAGTGTAGGCTTTGAAAAAGGACCCTACTTTGGGGAGTTGTTTTTTCTTTCACAGTGCAATGATGCAACATGTTTTTAATAGAAATGTATGCCGAAATAGAGTATAACAGGGTACCCAAATTTAAAAAAAATCGAGGGTGGTGTTTTTTTTTAATTCGCATCGGAATCTTTCTTTGTTTGATTTTTTTCCCATGTTTGCCTAAATATATTGTAACTATTGTGTCACTCAGATACCTTATTTATTTTTTCAATAATAGCCATATATTAGTAAAATAATGTCTGCAAGTTATGTAATAATGATTAAATTATTTCATGAGATACAGATTTCCAAAGTTTGCCATTTGTCGTTCGAGCAGGCATGTTTGGCAATTTTTAGAAAACTAAATAAGTTTTTAATAAATATTATTACTTTATATTGCAAGCAAGTTGTACCCATAGTTTGTTTGTAAAAAGTTTTAAAATTCTCCTAATTTTATTGTTTTAATTATTCACTTTCAAACTTGCCCGCTCCATCAGTGCGCGTTATTGCAACTGTCCACCTCTCCCTGCCTTACGATTTTTCTTGTCTCCAAATTTTTTTTCTGGTCAAAACTAAGTGTGGATTCGTTTATACCAGACACTAGACAATGTCATATGAAAACATCAGTTGATTTAAAATGTCGACCAGCCACCCTTTGGTCGATCTTATCTGAAATCACCCTACTACCGTTTATTGTGCAGATAAATCTGGAGCTATTCAAGTGCTTGTCATTCTCTCGAGCTCCCGTCCCACAGAGCGCACAGGTGGTCTAGCGCCTCCTCAGATGCCTCAGTCCTCCTCGCCTACCCCTCCGGTCACGTGACCTCCGCGTTAGTCAAAACCCACCTGTGATACTATACACCTCTGACAAAAAGTTTAGGCTGCAACATGCAGGCGCCGATTTCCATGGTCTATTTGAGATCGAGTCTCGGCATTGCAAACGCACTATATATCTACTGTACGAAAGCGAGCTTCAGTCAATTGCAGATGAGCTATAAAACGACATTTACTAAACGATATTTCATATAGACGTGTTACCAGGGCTATGCTCCCAGGAAGTATCGTTTACCTTAAAGCACTCGATAATTTCAAGCTCGCAAAAAGGCTGCCGTAGGACGTATCATTTTTTTTTATCAGTGTACAAATATCAGTCTACCAAAACTCTGTACTTATTATAGTGTAGTGTTCAACGCGTGCACGCGATCTTCTACTCCACACCAACTCAAGCAGCGCGAGACTGTCCTATAGGACCTCAATAAACTGGCCATTGCAATATGGGCTAAGATCTTAAAAAAAATCTTTTCTTGCAACGCAGTGCCGGAGTTTGCGAAGGTCAAGACGTGGCTCTGTCGGGAGTTGCTGGGTTTCATATTTGTCTGGCATCACGCCGAGTGTGAACCACCGTCCTGGGAGGTGGAAGATCAGCCAGAGATTAGCAACGGTGCATGGATACAGACATCGCGCTTTGAAAGACGGGCCCTCTGCCACGTTCAAGAAATTTCGGAAAATGGAGCGGACATTGGTCACCTGAGCGCAATCCACAAGCCTTCGACTTTCGTTTCCACCGAAGAGTTCGCCCGTGATGCCGGCCAGTCGTGGAAAGGACGTCTCATGTCCTACCGCTTCGACGCTGCGTGGTCTTCACAAGGAACTACTGCTAGAACTGACCTTACTATCTACCCTTCTGTCATGGGACTAGAGATAAAACAGTTCGTCACAGAAGGATACTTCAGGGCACTGGGACCAGCCCTGATTTTGTTCCGCGCTCGAACAGTGTTCGGTGGCTTCATAACTGTCATGGCTGTGACACCCATGGGACCACAAGAACAACGACTGATCCATCTAACGTACACTGAGCCTAGGATGCCATGGATTATGCGAAAGTTCTTTGAACTTGGAAACCGAAGAATGGTGGGTTTGTACATTTAAGGCGTTGGTTTGGAAGTCTAGAAACGATAGTTGTGCGTCGCACTCAAAAGTATAGAAACGGGAAAACATGGTGCACAAAAAATTCTTTTCATGTCTATTATTTGGTTTAATATTGCGTTTAATGTTCTGTTAGGCTCTACATTACAAAAGTATACTTTGAATAAATGACACTGGATTTAAAGCGTGACAATATAGGACAGTGGTGGCCAAGCTGCGGCTCTTCGCGTGTTAAAGTGCGGCTCGCGGCTCCCTCCCCTAAGAATCCCCCCCCCCCCCCTTCTTTCCCGCCTCCCTCACGGTCACGCGAGCATTTCGACACAAGGAGAAATGGAACGCGTTTTAAATCAAAATACAGGTTGTGATATGGTAATCTTACTTTAAGTACAGCTGGACTGCTTTTGACTAGGATAGGGTGAGAGTAGTTCGAGTTTAGTTTACTGCACTAAACAGTTCCCCCCCCCCCCCACCCCCCCCTCGCGCGGCTCTTTGAAGTCTCAAGGTTTTGTTTTCGGCTCTGAAGCCGGGTCAGCCTGGCTACCCCTGATATAGGACGATAAGCTGTTGCATTTATTTGAAAGTAGGAGCTTTGAAATCAACCCTACATACCACACTATTCCCTCCATCTCGTCAAAAGTCAGCGCATTTATTCAAGCCCCCTTCTTTTAAATATGAAAATAGTTTTAAAGAAGAGGTGAGGAAATCATTAATTTAGCGCATTAAAACCTCACTTGTTTAGCGTTAAAATTGTTCATTTATAGATCCATGGATGGTGCAATGCCTTTGGGTTTGCGTAGCAATATAAAGCTCTAGTGGCATTATTAATTAAAATAAAGAATATCGCAAAACTAGACGTGTGTAGACATCAGCCTTTTTTTTAGACTAAGAAATCTAAACGACATAAATGTAATCGTGCAGGCTAATTGGTGAAAGATCATACTTATACTCGTGGTTTATAAGTGTGGTCTAATCAATATTCCACCTACCACTTGCCGCTCGTATAGCTAAATTTAAAGCCAGATACTCGTAGGAATTCTTTCCTGTCAAAGGAATAGGTCGTTATGCAACAGCTGGTACGACAACCGGACTGATCGGCCCACTTACCAATCGTAATCTGTTGGCCAATACCTTTTTAAGCTTTAACATGTGGACATACGGCGTGTCGAATACAAGGCACATACCCTTCTTTCGGCACTATCTTTGTTATTAAATGCAGCTAGGATCAACACAAGCTAATTTTATTCGGTGTTTGGAACAGGTTTTAGGTGATGCTTAAATATAAGACTAAAATGGAAATGCTGGCTCTTAGTAGATGCAAACATAGGAACATCTCTTAGCTGTTGTGCCATTAAATCACGAGCCTGTAGATACGTTGAGCGCCTAGACTCAACTTCATACAAAAGAACCATGACATCTACGTATAAATAAGGATACATTAATGACCAAGTAAAAGTACGCAGAACACGTGCAGCGAATAACAAGTGCGAAGTATATTTAATGTATTTATCTACACGGTTAGGACAATGCATCTGAGACTTCAAAAGGTTCTAAGGTGGATTCCTCTTGCTGATCAGACCTTTAGTTTACCTACGTGGTTAGCTATAGTACGGTTATCAAAGTAAGTCAGCTGGCAAACCTACGAGGTACAAACTCTGTTCCCTCTACTGCCGCTGTTTGTCCTCAGTCGACTGAAGTGCCATCTTTTCTGCACGCAGCGGCGAGTCCTTCCAGAAATATCTCAGAGCTGCAGCAACGACCAAAAGAGATGGCGTTTAAGTGAACTGTTGACGAACGTTGTGGAGGGGGAAGGGAAGGGGGGTTACATCTTGAAAAGCCAAGTAAGGTTGGCTGTAGGCTCTTTCTATGGATGACATAGGTGACAATTATTCGACCATCGTGAGCTTTGCCGTAGCTCGAAAGGTTTGTCATTTTCTTGCGTAATCACGTTGAAAAAATGAGGCCCTCGTTGCACTTTAGGATTTCTGACAATATTCATGTGTCATCTTTCAAGCATTTAAATATTTGTTCTGATAAAGGGTCTTCCCGTTCCAGATGGAAAGAGACATCATTGTTTGGAACAAAAAAATTCGCCTCAGGAACCCTTTGCTGGTGAAGGAGGAGCATCCCATTACGGCTTTCCGCAAGTGGTACTCCCAGTTCTACAGCCTCCATAGTCCGACGTGGAAGGATGTCATGGATAACACAATGACGTGGTGATTCTCCACGCGTTCTATGAAAACGAACTATTCTGTGAATGAAGAGCGCCCTGGAAGGAGATAATTCACTTTTTTTTTTCAAATGTACAGATTGATAGGTTTTTTGTATGTATACATACGTGGCAAAGCTCATGTCTATGATCACAGGAATATTTCCATTTTGTGGGGGCTGCTGAAAATAGATGTTAGCTGGGGAAACCTGTGAATTGCTATGAAAATGAACTTTCAGCATACTATCTATGTTTTGTATTTCTTTGTGGTATGGATGTTTCCTAACACTGTAAAACAATACCACAAACATTTATATGATCGATGTGCATTTCATGGGTCTTTTCTATATTATTAATCAAATATTGAATGAAGTCACTCCTAAATAGACGCTCCTATAATGATCCCCCAAGAAGGCACCAAAAAGTGTAGATAAAGCTAAAGTTTCTTAGCTAAAATATTGTCATTCATATGGCGGTTTTTCTTTTTCTAAAATTCATAGTGCCTTGGAGGCTCTAGATTTATCAAATTAATTGTAAAAATATATAGTCACAAATGGTTTTGCGCAAATACTTCTTGTTCTTGGTTAGTATAAAGCGAGCGATCAAAGTAACAAATAAATTTTTATTATGAGTTAACGCAAAAAATATTTCCATGTGTGTTTTATTCTTCTTCTCTAATACTATAGAGTCACACTTTAACATCGCGTATTCAGTACCATGAAAGGAAAATGCACAATAAATATTTTGAAAACCTTATTTCAAAATATACTTTGAAAACTAGGTAGTTTGGACCACGATGCATTTTATTTTTAAGTAATGTAATTTAAGTAAACAATAGGTACTGAAGGCAAGATTTTATCGTTCGTTATGTAGATGTATATTCTAGATATTACAAACATAATTTACTTTCGAAAGCCCAGAAGCAAGAGAAGTGTGTAAGCATGGCCAAGTTTAAACATTTTTATTTATAGTCTTTGAGTTTATTGAATACCATTTTGTAGAAACTGAAGTTGCATGCCATGCTACTAGAGTTTAAGCAAACACCGGTGCCACGTTTTGAAGCACTTCATATATTTTTGTTTTATCCCGCTTATGCAATTTCGGGTGCAAGGCTTTGCTAATATTATGGCTCGGACGAGACGCAACGCTTTTATATCATCATGGCTCTGGGGTGCGACGAAGTATTATTAAAGGCAGGCACCTCGCGCTCGGAGCGGAGCATCAACTGGGTCCTTGAAGGTTACAGGTCAAAATGCCCAACAAGACGAAATGGGCATCGAATCAAAATGTCCAATATAGAACATTTTGAATATATGAACATGCATGTCTCAATGTACGTTTTGACCTGGATAACATTTTGACTTGACGGACATTTCGTCCGGATTGACATTTTGACCCGTTGGACAGTTCACTCGGTTCACTCATATCTAACACCGGTACTGATACCGACGTGAAAAAATATGTAGTATATATACACGCGCGTTCTTGCACAAATAGCCATAATCGAACCACTTTAGCGAATCTGAGTGACTGTTGTATTTTGTGACAAACCCTATTTTCCTGTACCGAATGTTTAGGAGAGAATAGCTTTTTCTATTCGAAAAATAAAACAAACATTATGGCCCGTCGAACCCCCACCAAAACGTGCACAGTTGTTGAAAAAAATGCCGAATATTCTGTAAAAAGCTTAAGAAGAGTGGGGAATTAAAAGAAAAAAAATTTCATTAACATTATAGGGCACGTTCGCAGACTTCAGTGTCACAAATATAGCAATTGGAAAACAATCACGACCAACTGGTTCCGAGAGTCAATAACCCACTACGAATGAATACGGAATATAACACAGAAAATCTAAAAAGTGCAATTTCCATCAGAAAGTAATTGAATGACTACCCGAGGGTGCTTGGTGTATTCTGCCGAACCGCTCAGACATAGTGTTCAAGAAAAGGTATATAGCTGAGCTGTGACGCCCTGCCCGCTGCCCCATCCTCCTTTGGCGTCACTACGCAGAGGCACACGATCCAAAATTGAGCACGATTCTGAGCCTCCACTGTCTATGCGAATATGAAAGATCACTGAATTTAGGCGCGGTGACACGGCTAATAATCATGCGAAAGACAGTCTTTAGGAATGTCTGAGGCATGTTTCCTCAATGTGGGATCACGGTCCTGTCAGGTTGGTGATGAAAACACTTTGTTTTGCTTTTTTAGCTGACTTTTTTGCACAAATGTTTGTATTAATATTTCCGTTTTCTTTTGCCCTTCTAGTGCCAAGATTGCTTTCAAGCAAAAGTCCCATTTTGCGGCTTAGAATTCTTGACGTCCATTATGCATACCTATCATGTCCTAAAAAACGAAAAAGAAAGACATGTGTATGGATGTGTAAAAAAAGGGCTAAAAGTCTTATTGCCGGTATGCGCATGTGCGTAATACGTGATAGATTTTTGCCATGGCTGTAAATAAAAAAATAAAAACCTCGTACTTCCGCTTGCTTTGTGCAATCATTATTGTGGAGGGATTTCCGATATATCTTTGCTTTTCTATCTTGCTATCTTGGAATTTTTCTGTTAATATTAGCGGGAAAATTTTTCTGTTCAATGTAACGGGGAAATTTTCCGCTAAATATAGCAAGGAATGTAGTCGCTATATTACCGGGCAAAGTTTCCCTCTAAAATTAGCGGGGAACTTTTCCCGGTAAATTTCGCGGAGACATTTTTGCCCCTGAATTTTGTGAAGAAACTTCGCGAAAATTTTTTCAATAAATTTAGCTGGGCAGTTTTTCCATAATGCAACGGGCGGTTTATTCCCATAAAGCAACGCGCGCGGCCAGGCCGACAACGACGCCGCTCAAGCCGGAAGCGGGTGCATAAGAGCTGCGCTCTAAAAGTTTCGACTTCAAAAGCTTGCCTCCCAGATGGAAGCTGAACAGGAGACCATTATTTCTACTCGGCCCATGTGTTCCTTCTCCACTATTCTACCTTAAACCAATAGCTTGGCTCGTGAAACCTCCAGAAGCTTCTCTTGCTCGTCTTAGTCTAACCGCATGACGTTACAATGTCACGTAATGTCACGTGGTCACGTCGCGTCGCAGCGTTGCAGTGACTAGGGATGTCGTGGTTTGACATGACGTCCGAGTGTCATGGTACGTCTAGGCGTCACGTTATGTCACTGTGGCCCATGAAGTCATCGCGTCACGTGACGTCCGGTGCCCCATGCGGTGACATCCTGTAAATAGAAAGTCTTAGTACTCAATTTCAGCGCTATATTTAAAGCTTACTTCCACGCTACGCAAAAAACTGAGAATGGTGTTACTCCGCCGTGACGCAAAACCCCAAGCATCTCGCGCTTGCAATGCTACCAAGACACAGTAACGATTTTTATTTCATACACAAAATGCTGCAACGTGAGTAACAAAGACAAGTTTTCTGTTCCAAACTAGCAGTTTAGATCTCTTGAAATATGAGAATGCGACGTGAGTGGTCGACTGGCCGTGTTCGCTAGTGTCGCCTCAAAAAGCGGTGAGTTGCGGTAGTTGTAGAGATGACATCATATTAAAAACAGCGCACCAACAGTGAGGAAGACAAGTCTCATCTACTGACCTTCGCACACCGTGTCTTCGCCGAGAAACGTTCGCGCGTCGGAAGCAGGTATTTACCGGCGATCGTTGTCCACTTTGCTGGCTGTTCCAAACCGTTTGTGAAGTTCTCCTCCCGTAAGGAGGCAATTTCGTCCTGTATTGCAAAATCGCAGTCGGGAGTATGCGGCCAACGCCGCGCTCGCGACAGTTGCTAAAATTGTTGGTCGCAGCCGCGGTCCTTGTGAGCACACTTGTAAAGTAATCCGTTAGTTTTTCTGTTAATCTTGTGATTTCCACGTTACTTTTTTTTGGCAGTAATTTGTAATGTAATTTCGTGGCAAATATTGTAACGGATTACTTTATTTACTTGTTACCTTTTCATAATTTGATAATATTACAGAAACTGGAGCAGGCAATTCGGGAGCATAAAGATAGCAAGTTCAACAAAATAGAAAACATCGTAAAGCGAAGAAGAACAAAAATAAAAACGCGATTTTATGCATGAGAAATCCCTAGAAGAGCTAGAAAACCATGCACGGCATATACAAATATGCGAAGAACAAAGATCAAGAAGACAACGCCGATTAAGCGTTTTTTTCTTAATCTCCTAGCGGAGGTAGACGATACTACTGAGCACACTGCTAACTTAGCCTGCAGAATTCCTGGGATCATTTCCGGTCAGCGTAAGCTATCGGGATAACGACTGTGGTTGCAGCTTTGGCTGGCTTGTCAGCTTACAGGTGAAAGGAGGGCATCTACATCCTTTCTCTTAAATGCAATATATATTTTACTTTAACAAGGACTACAGTAATGCAGGCAAATGACGAGTAGAAAGTAGTTTTGCAAAAAAGTTTGGAAAGCATAAAAACCTTTTCTATTGTTTTCTCGATAAACTAACAAGAAAAATAAAACGAAAGTAACTGTAGGATAACGAGTAAAGTAAACTGTTACGTTTCAGTCAAAGTAATTTGTAACGGTAATTAATTACATTTGAGGCTGGGTAATTTGTAATTGTAATCATATAACGCTTTTCAAGTAAGGGCCACCATTCTGTTTGCGAGCCGCCATATCCTAACTGTGTTCGTCGCTCGTCTTAGCTTGGGCAAACTCATGTATTACAAATCCTCCTTGTAGCAACGCAAAGATTCTGCGTACGCACGCAATATTCGAAAAATATAGCACGCTAAAATGGCATGCGCAAAACGCGGTTCGCATTCGGCGCATGCGCAGTGGCAAGGACAGTATTTTTGCGTACGCAAAATTTTTGCGTTCACTATTCTAAAACTTCCTAATATCAGGCTGAAACAAACTAGAAGTAGTGAATACAAGGATATAATGCAAAAAGCGTATCTGTATACCAAAACGTCGGGATTGTTTAATGAAACATTGTAAAAGTTTACATCGCAAGTCTCCACGCAGTAGAAATGTGCAATCA